TCTCATCCAGGCAAGTGTCTTTTTTCTCCTCCTCCGACGAAATATACGATTTTTAGTTATATTCTAAAAAAAATCTGTTAATTAATTTTCAGACCTAATTTTAAGTTGATAAAGATAATTGTTTTTATTCAGGTGATTTTATGGTATGTCTTACTACAAATGGTAACGTTCGTTGGACACTTTTTATCGAACCTGTAGAAGACATGGATCCTATTGGTTTATCTAACATTATTGTTGATCGACAGGGACAACTTTTCTATACTATCTCCTGGTCAGGTGATACAATCTATACCGCAAAAATCTGTCGTGTCACACAGGCTCAAATATCACATCCTGTTCAACAGTGTGTAGAAGATTATCAGGTATTTGCATATGTTACTTCATCACTGGCACTAGATGACAAATATGATCTCCTAGTAGCAGCAGTAAGTGATAACGAAATTGAAACTGTACCAGCTGTTTTGGATAAAAAAACACTAAAGTTAGTGTGGATAAATAGACATTATTTTGGTGCTGGCATGGATGGACAATATCGATGTGATACGAATACAGGCGATATACTCTGGCTAGGCGGTGATTGGCGTCTTATAAAATTTGATCATAATGGAAAGAATTTATTAAACAATTATACAACACCCAGTGCTGGTGGTTACGACTTTGTTTTAGACAGACAACAACAAATAATTGTACAACCCTGGCAAAACGCATCTAGTTTACCATGGAAACTTCTTGTTTCATCATATGATGTATCTGCACAACAAATAAAAGAACGATGGCGTTGGGAAGCACCTTCATTAATTGCTGATAATGATGATATAACATCTCCTAGTATAGATGAGAATGGTACGGTTTATATGTCAAGTATGCCTCTAGTATTCGCTATTGATACTCAAGGAAAAGTGATGTGGACAACTCGATTAGCAACATCAAGTGAAATGGAAACATATGATTTAACTTCTTCTTATCTTGGAATGAATACAAAACGACGTGTTCTTTACGTTGTGACTATTACGACATATTCTCAAACGTCAAAGTTCCTTTATTTTATTACTGCAGTTAATATGGACACCGGCAAGGTGATTAAACGCATTAATTTGAATCTAGGAACCGATAAACAAATCAGTCCGCAAAGTCTAATTTTAGTTGGGAACGAAATGCTCTACTTTTCTTGGTTAACGGGACAATATCCAGAATCGGTACCATTCAAAGTAATAGGTATTCAACAAGTCTAAGCATCGGAACAATTATTTTAATATAATGTTGAATATGATTATTATAGCCGTGGTTTTGAAAAAAATAAAAAGAATCAAGCAGTTAAATTAGTTTTTATATCACGAAGTAAGTGAACCTTTCTAATACCTATACCCGTACCAACACCCACGAGTAATTTCGTGTGATAATAATCCGTACGGTTTACAAAGTTGTTTAAGTCTTTGATCGGTGACGCTTAAGAAATACAAAAATCCTAGATGATGTGCAATGTAAGTATGGAAGCCACGATGATCGAGTACTTGAGAACGAACATATCGATAGATTTCATCATAGTCTTAGTTTTTTCATACATTCATTCTATCGGATCTATTTTATTCAGATACGTAGCAATATTCGATTGAGGAATTGAATTAAATATTTCAATCAATACTCGAATAAAACAATCAGAATTAACTATGAAAGAAAATACTGCTAATGACATTGAGTCGCAACGATGTTAGCATATGTCATGTAAATATCTAGTAATCCATTCATAACAAAGATACTTGATGTATTTTGAATTAAAACTGATGATCGTGATACAATTGGACTTTATTTTCAACCAAATCAACTAACAGCTTCGGAAACTTTACCAATATAGATCTGTAATGAACTTTGAATCCCAAATTACTGAATAGGTGCTATTCTATACCTTCAGCTGGTAGCTATATTTGGAAGAATACCTTCATCTTATCATCATTACACTACATTTTTTAAACGCTTGTGGATCAATTATAAAGAAACTGGTATATACTACTAACGTAAAGACCGATACACAAAAAGCAGAAGAAAGAAATATTCTTTTGGGAAGTGCACTCACGTATAAGGAAAATAGATATCGATGTGTATTTATATACGTTTCAGATATGAATTTGATTTACCGTACCGTCATGAGACATCGTAGAAAGGAAGGAGGTATTCAACTTTAGATACATAGAATGAATATCTAGATTCATGCCTCTTCTCAGCTGAGACATTAACTTTTGAATATAAAAATATATACAATATTTCATCCGATTCTCTTTGATTCTTACCTATCAAATACTGATGCAGTATTCTTTCGAAAGTCCTTTTTATCTCTCTCGATATTTACTCAGAAGTACGAGTATTTAAGTCAGAATTAAAAATATCATACATATATCTCATATTATGGAAACAATCATTACTCATATTTATTAATTATATAAGAAAAAAACAAAGTGAATTGGTTTTAACAGATAAAGAAGTTCTACGACAATTTTTTCTTAGTGGGCATTCAGGACATTCTGTCTACCTATTTGTAGTTCTTTATATTTCAAACTTATTGCTTATCTGTATAGATCCAATCGCATGTCTAATTTTATTTTTTGTGCTCGTAATACTTCTCCGTTCAATTCAAAATGAACAAACGTGATATGGTGCTAAAATAACTGGAACGGGAAGAAATTCTAATTGTATGCAAAGAAATAAGCATTTATGATGTGTCGAACCTTTATGACAGACCATCATATCCTCAAGGATGAAAATTTATTAATGAAAAGAAAAATGTCTACATAAATTATAAGAAGAAAAACATCACCGTATTTCACGTTTACGAACATAGATAATACTTTATTTGCATAAAAGTACATTTTTCATTTCCTTTCGAAATGTTTTTGATACCATTAAATTAATGTAACAACTGGTGGACATTGGAATATAAGTGAACAAAAGGGTGATGCTCATCAAAAATGAATTTATTTGACTTTGTGCTAAACTTTTGGTTTGATATTGAACGATTTGCTCATAGAGAGAAACAATTACAAACAACAAATTGAAAATAATATAAACAGTAACATTGATAAGTAATATTTTGATCAGTTGACGATCTTTCGGATGTCCAGGATTCAGAACATTACCCATCGTATTTGACAAAGGAGTAACTCTTACACGATGTGAAGATTGAATGTTCTTGATTGTATATATTTCACAGATAATCATAAGTGTAGGTATGACGATGACTTTTATTAATTGATAATAGTTCATAAATGCTAAATATCCATCAGAATAGGAATAACAGACATAATAGTTTGGTATAATTTCTATAATGTTGGCGAAGACTAATGCAGGACTGTGAAATAACATACAACATATTGTACCAACAATGATACACGTATACGCAATACGACTATTACTATACCGACGTATGCCTGCATTTCGTGAAGTGAATAACATTCGATCAATTGAAGCCAAAATCAAATAGAACGGACTGAGAATATTAACAACATATCCGCTAAAGTAAATAAAACGACAGAAACTGCTACTCCATGTTGTCGTACTAATGCTATAGCCATATGCTAGAATTAGTTGTGAAAGAACTACACATATTTGATAAAGATTAGCAATGTTGTATGCAATAAAATAGACTGAACATGCATTTTTACGAAGATTCTTCTTCGAAAAAATAATCAAATTAAATATACAGCTGATAACACCAATATAGAACATAAATGCAGCACCATATTGAAATATATGTGTTTGTGCCGATACTAATGATTTGATATAATCCATTTCGGACGACATGGTAACCAAATATATTAATCGTTAAGATGTTTTCGAGGATTTTTTAGACGGTTGAAAAATTAGTTTATTAAGAGATCTGTAGTGAAGTAATACTATATTATTTTTTGAATCTCAACTAGAAATGCTCATTTATCTTTACTTCATAAAGAATAAAAATGGCCTTATAAAGTACAACAAAATAAATAAATTATTGCTGTAAGTGTTTTTTTATTAACTAAAAGTCATTTCGTAGGTGTTTACTTATCAATTAAAAAATGAATTCAAAAGATACTACGCAAAAAAATGACAATATGCTAATGGGCTTCTCTTTTAATTAAATATTTGTCTTGACGTCATGTGAGTTATTTCATTAAATGCTTTCAATAATATTTGAATAGTATTTTTTTTTAAAATTATATGATGTTTTATTGTAAAAGTGACTAAGACTTTAATTTGAATGAAGTTCTACTCAAAATAAAAGATGAAATCAACCTTTTTATTATTTGGATCAAATTTTTCAGTATATATTTTTATATTTAAAAAAATAATTGTACAAATCGCATCAAGAGTTCGTTGTTGTGACAATGATTTAATCTATTCTTTTTTAATTTATAAAAATTAAAGGTTGCTCTGTTTTTTTTGATTCTTTATAAAATAATAAAAACACCTCGAGTCTGAATAGATTTATATCTGCGAACAATAATTTTTCATTATTAGATGTTGACAAACATAAAGAAGAAATTAATTTTTTTCCGATGATCCATCTCATCTGTAAGAAACTAATTTATTTTTTTTCATTTAATATCTGAAGAAGACAGATTTCTGTTTCAGACAAGCTACAACGCCAGATCATATAACAATGACTACGTGTAGTACCACTGAGTTTCATTTAAACGCATGAATGAATCAATCGAGATTTCAAATTGATGTATTTCGAAATGAATATACCGACCTTGAATAAAGTAGTGCACAATTATTATGAATACTTTGTTCTGTATCAAATATACTATAAACATCCTATTCCACAATCGCATAATACCTGCTCTTCGATCGATTATTTACTTGTGTATCAGTTCGATGAAGATGCAAGAATTGCTTTCTAATAATTTATTCTCATTTAATTCTTTTAATGAATATGCAAGTCGATAGGACGTAAAAGTTTTTCGCATGAACAATAGAGAAAAGAACTGTATTTAGTATAAGTTTATAATCGAATGAACAAGAAAAAATTAACAAGTCTGTAAGAAAATATTTAAATTGTCAGTACCATTATTTGCTACAGCAAAATCTATCTTTCCATCATTACTAAAATCACCAACAGCGATAGAGAACGGATGCGATCCGTACTCCATCGCAAAAAGGATGATCATGTTAAATATACCATTACTACGTCCAAGAAATACACCTAATTCGTTGCTATTATAATTAACGACGACAATATCAAGTTTAGTATCATTATTAAAATAACCAACAGCCACAGAATAAGGAGACGAAAATGAACCAGTTGAATACGTCGTTTGATTTGGAAACGAACCATCACCAACTCCAAGAAAAATACTGATGCTGTCGGAACCATAATTAGCAGTGACAATGTCGAGTCGATTGTCGTTATTGAAATCACCAACTGCTGCAGAGTATGGAGATGAATTCATACCAGTTGAATATGTTGTTTGATTTGTAAAAGTAATATTACCCAATCCCAAGAAAATACCAATATTATTAGCGCGTGAATTGGCCACTCCAATATCTGTTTGGTTATCATTGTTAAAATCACCAATGACAAACGATCGTGGTCGGGAATCTTGGCCAGTTAGAAGCGTCAGTTGCGGTAAAAAAGCTTTATTCTCACCACCAAACAGTATCAAGACGTTGTTGTCACCTGAATTTGCTACAAGAAGATCAAGTCGAGTATCTTCATTAAAATCACCAACACTTAGACCATATGGTTGAGTACCAACTGAATATGTAACTTGAGACATAAACGTTCCATTCCCAAAACCTAGTAACACACCCACCGTATTGCTACCGAAATTACTAACAACAAGATCTAATCGTTTGTCCTTGTTGAAATCTGCAACAACTACAGATTCAGGAAGTGGACCCACTGGATACGTCACTTTATCTGCGAAGGATCCATCACCATATCCCAGGAGAACACTCACTTGACGCTGACCCACCGTAGCAACAGCAATATCCAGTAATGTATCATTGTTGAAATCATCGACAGCGATAGCCACTGGGTTGCCGTCAACTGGATACGGCGTTTGATTTGCAAAAGTACCGTCACCAATCCCCAGAAGAATACTCACATCATTAGGGCCATAATTGGCAACAGCGATATCTAATCGAGAATCCCGATTAAAATCACCAACAACTACAGAGTATGGTTGAGCATTGGTCAAATATGTTCTTTGATCAGTAAAACTACCATCAATATTTCCAAGAAGGATACTGACATTATTACTACCATAATTGGTAACAACTAGATCCAATCGAGTGTCGTTGTTAAAGTCACCAACAGCTACATAGAATGGACTAGTGCCGACTGAATAGATAATTTGATTTGCAAAACTACCCTTCCCATTTCCAAAAAGAATACTCACACTATTATTATTAGTGTTGGCGACAACAATATCTAGTCTATTATCGTTGTTAAAATCACCAACAGTTACACCTCGTGGTTGAGACCCAACTGAATATGTCATTTGTTGAGAAAACGTACCATTCCCATATCCGAGAAGTATACTCACATTACCATCATTATAATTAGTGGCTACAATATCAAGATGAGTATCATTGTTGAAATCACCAGTAGCAATATACCGTGATCCAGAACCAGTTGAATATGTGTTTTGCGTTAGAAAAGATCCAGTATTGTATGCAACAAGAATATCGATATTATCATTATCGTCGTATCCCACAACAATTTCTGATTGTCTGTCGTTATTAAAATCACCAGAAGAGATAACCAACGGAGAAGACGCAAAAGGACTTTGATAAATGATTTGTTTTTCAAATGATTCCTTTCCATTTCCAAGTAACATACCGATTGTTTTGGTATTATAAGTCGCCACAGCAATATCTAGATAAGTATCACCATTGAAATCGCTGATAGTAATAGACGATGGATGAGAATTGGAGCCCATGTTGATCATCATTTGGTTTGTAAACATGGTATCACCATTTCCAAAAAGAACACCTACATTGCCAGTACCGAAATTAGCTACAACAATATCCAGTCGAGTATCATTGTTTATATCAGCGACAGCAATCGAGCTCAACTTAGAACCACCACCAGATGCATAAGTCATAGAATTTTCAAGAGCACCCCGGTTAAATTGAAGTAATACACCTACATTATTACTCTGATAGGCGGCCACAACGATATCCAGTCGAGTATCTTTATTCAAATCAGCAATAGCTATAGTGAGTGAAGTTATGCCAGTGTTATATGACCCCCGATTTTCAAAAGAACCATTACCATCTCCGAACCATATCAAAACATCTGCAAAACTAGCACAAGCGATAACAATGTCTAATCGAGTATCATTGTTCATGTCACCGACAGCTACAGATGTTGGAGAAGTGCCAGTTGCATACGTTGTTTGTTTTGCAAAAGATCCATTATTATTTCCAAGGAGGACGCCTACATTATTGCTTCCAAAATTGGCAATAACGATATCCAGTCGAGAGTCATTGTTCAAGTCAACAACGACTATCCAAAACGGTTTAGTACCAACTGAATATGCCATAGAATTCACAAAATTGCCATTACCATCGGCAAGTAGAACATTCACATTGTTGCTATCAAGATTGACAACAATAATATCTATTCGGGTGTCGTTATTGAGGTCACCTAACGCTAAAGCTTGTGGACCAAGATCAGTTGAATAGGTGCTTTGTTGCCCAAAGGAACCATTACCACACCCAAGAAGTATACTGATATTATTACTAGCAACATTGGCAACCACTAGATCGAGCCAAGTATCGTTATTGACATCGCTAATAGCTACAAATACTGGAGAAGATCCAGTTGTATATGTCACTTGATCGCTAAAAGACCCATAACCATCGCCAAGAAAAACGCCCACATTACTGCTACCATAATTGGCAACAACTAGATCTAGAAAAGTATCATTATTAACGTCGCCAATAGTTACAAATGAAGGATGACTATCAGTGACATATGTATCTGACAGGCTAAAAGTACCATCACTATGACCAGAAAAAATAGTTGTGGTATTGTCGAGATAATTGACAACAGCCATATCTAATATAGTGTCATTGTTGAAATCACCAAGAGCCAAAGACCGTGGCGAAGATCCGGTTGTATACGGTTTTGCATTTGGAAAACCTTCGAAATAGCCACTAAGAATATCAATACTACCAGTATCATTATTAACAATAATCATATCTAGTCGATTGTCTCCGTTGAAATCACATATTGCCAATGAAATCGATGAAGAAGATCCAGTTGAATTCATTCTTGGTTCGTCAAAACTACCATCTCCAAATCCACGAAGCTGACCGATATTATTACTACCGATACCAACGAAGATTAAGTCTTGATGTTTGTCGTCGTTGAAGTCACCAACACCAATTGAAAATGGAGATGTAGCATTTATGGGATATATTGCTTGCTTTGCAAAAGTACTGTTACCATTGCTTAAAAATACACCTATCATATTGGTTCCATAGTTAGTAACAGCAATGTCAAGAAGTGTATCGTCGTTAAAGTAGCCAACAGCTATCGATGTCGGATGAGAATCATAACCAGTTGAAATGGTTATCTGATTTTCAAACGTGCTATTGCCGTTGGAAAGAAATATGCCAATATTGCTTGTACCATAATTAGCAATGGCAATGTCTAGATAGTTATCGTTATTGAAATCTCCCGTAACCAATCCGAATGGAAGAGAATCATAGCCAGTTGAATATGTTATTGGACTTGAGAAGATTCCATTTCTATATCCATAGAATATACTTATGCTATGAGTTCCGAAATTAACAGTAATAATATCAAGTAATGTGTCGTTATTAATATCGACTAAAGTAACTGAAGTTGGACGCGAAGATTGAGTTGAAAGTTCTATTTGACTCTTGAAAGATCCATTTCCAACTCCAATAAATATACCGATATTATTAGTACCAAAGTTTGCCACTACAATATCGAATCGAGCATCATTATTTAGATCACCGATAGCAACCATCGATGGAGCAGCACGAATACCAGTAGAATATTCGATTTGTTTGGAAAACGTGGTATTACCATATCCAAAATATATAGATATGATGCTGACAATAGAGTCAGCAACAACCATATCTAGCCAAGTATCGTTGTTGAAATACCCGACGGCAACCGATCGTGGACCATAATTATATTCAATTGGGTTTTTGGACGTTGGCGAGAAGTTCAACCCACATTTTTTAGCTAAACAGTATAAAAAAAATGATAAGAAAATTCATTAACTAATGAAAAGCAACTATGTTTGTTGACATGTTGAATCCTCACTATCTGTTCATATAACTATAACGGAATTAAGCTAGATGATTTTATTACCGGTAAATATTATAATATTTTATATGAAATATTCTGAATAGACATTTAATAGAACTGAGGAAATTTTTATTCGTTTCAATACCAAACAAGTATTCATTTCTAATGTTTCGCTATTTGGCTCATCTGAATATACGATTTTTGTATTTCTCCGCCTGTGTCTGCTTCTCCTTCCGTGACTTAAACTGCTTTTATTCGATTTTAATATATAATACGTAGTGTGTTAATAGTGATTGTTAGAAGAATATACCCTGTGGTTTTGGTGAAGTAAAACAAACTACTAAAATGCCAATTGTCATTGCAACAATTGTAAATAGAAAAAATGCCACACCAGACTTGATTGACCTTGGTATTGACCCGTACCAACGTTTTCTAAAATAAAAAATAAGATCATCTGTATATGGAAACAAAAACAATGAAGTCGTACATATTCCATGCAGGTTTCGATGCTGTTACCGAGTGATCAATTTTGCCACCACTACCAGCCGCTGTTGACTTATTAGTATCCAAAATCGGTCCAATGTCTTCTCTCAGTTCAGCAGATGGTTGCTGAATAGGAACCGGAATTTCGGCTAATTCAATGTTATTACCAGTAGAATCCATTTCAATCTAAATGAAAGCAATAGTGAACGAAACATTCGCATAATTTTGTCTATTTTTTGCTCTTTTAAATATTAAAAATAAACCACTTATCAATATAATGTGTAGTTCAATGAATGGTGAATATATGATAAATGTTTTTTAAGATTCGTTTTATTTTTATTTGCATCTATGGTTGTATGTATGTTTTTTCATTTTCAAAATTCATATGTGCATTAAATAAATTATTTTACTGTTTTATCTCGTGAACACAAGATTTCTGGAGTTGAATTCGAATATAGATAGAAGCCGATAGACTTTGATGAACAGTTTCAGCTATCATTTTTTTGATTCTATGTCATCATATTATTACAACGAGGATTCATTTTTACAATAAGTATACTCTAATGAAGCTAGAAGAATCAGTTGTTCTATAGTAAGACATTTCAATAGAATGTCACCACAAGGCTCTTATATGATAGATATGTACTGAAAATACGACATAAAAATCTATTGTATAGTATTTATTGGGTAATGAATTGGGATCTGAAAATATATAATATGTATATACTGTAGTCATATTTACCTATTGAATATTGTATTCAACGATCGAAGTAAAATAATAATAAATGAGAATATGAGTTGTAAACAGAAGAAACAAATAAAAAATGAATAAAAATGTGAGAAACACAAGCTTAAATGCATATTTTATCTACAGTAACCATTGATGCGTAGACCATTTTCACATTATTCTAAAGGAAAAATAAGGACTAATCAGTTAGAAGAACGTACTTGCAATGAATGTAATAGTACATAAGGAAAAAAAATCCATCAAACGAAAATTTCTATCTTACCTTTAGTGCAATGATTATTGACTCATCGGTCGTTCAAATTTTATCTCAAGAAGAAACCCGCGTGAGTAATAATTGTTTTTGCGATACACGTCGTAAATGTGATCGTTAATTTCATACAGAAAGAAAAAAGAACGAACATGTATTAGACGATTGTCTCACATCAATGAAACATGTGCATCTGCTCAGATACAGTCAATATCTTCAATAAAAACTATTTTATTTATACTTAAAATTTTTCATATAAATATTCAAAATAGGCGTTCTCTTTTGAATGTAAAAATATCAAATACATCGAATTGCACAAAAGTCATATAATTCACTAATGGATATAAATATATCTATATATATTCTTTAACACTCGTCGCATTATTTATTAATTGTATTAGTATTGTAAAAATAAGATTAAAAATAAAAATTATGTACAAACGTTCTTTATTTTTATCTTGTCAATCTGATTTCATTTTTTCTTTTGAGAACTACTTTGTCAAGGTCATATATTCTTTTTTTATTCTTAAATAACATAAATACATCAAAACATAATAATAAAAACAAATATTCACAACATAGACCCTTTATTATTATATAAATATATCCTTATGGTGAAAATTGAAACGGATCAAAGTTAAAATTTTTATCACTAAAATAAAAAAAACAAATCTAAAACTATAAAAGAATAAATTATTACTTGAATAATAACTGATTTTAATTCGATTATATCGAATGAATACATAAATCGAATATAAAATAATTGAAATACAATTTAAACTAAGCAAACTATATTTTCATGAATATTCTAATATAACATAAGACAAAAATAGAAAATAAAATATTATTAAAATGAAAAAATTTATTTACTTGTATTCTATTGATGAAATATATTCAGATTTTATGATACATATATGATGCTTTATAGTTTTATTTTGTTACATAAGATATCTTGCTACTTATGAAAAAAACGACTATTCTACAGGTATAGGTAAGCAATAGAAACAAGAGAAAGAACGAACAAATTAACACGTGCGAATTTTTTGTTGAGAAATAAGACAATATTACATCTCTTATAACCATTTTTAAACATGTAACGCGTTCGTGTGTGTTTATTTCTAAACAAGTTCAGAAATAAATATCAGCCTAAATCGGAATTGAACTGATGAACTATGGTATAATAAATTGCATATTAAACACAACTAGTTGTGAACTAAATATAGCTCGAAGCTATCATTATGTTCATGAATGAGATGAATCATATATTTTAAGTTATTTATTATAAATTTAAGAATGCACGTCTTGGATGGATCTGGGTAGATATGGATATGGGTGTAACATTTCACTCACACCCATACTCTCACCCACATTTCAATGACATCATGCTCTAGTTCAGTTTATATGAAAAGAGCAATAAATAAATATATGAATAATTAGTAAGGTATATTCATGAGGATCAAAGTGTTTTTTTATCTAATCTAGATTGAGAAAATTATATACTAAGGCTATATGACAAAAAAAGTTTTATGCTGAACCACACTCTTAAATTTTTCTGAATAAAGGTAATGATAATTATATGGTTGTAGTGTCTTACTGAACACTACTAACTAATTTAAAAATCGAAAAAAAAAGTCAACATAATATATAGGCTAACGATAATCGAGTAGAAAGTGAAACAATATAATTATCTGTTCTTGAGAAATAGCATAGATAATTGAGTCTTTCTAATTTTCATCATAAAGATAATGTTTAATAAAGCATATTTTTTATGCTAATAATATAAGTCAGTCATTAAGGAAAAACATAAATTTGATAAGGAAATACTAGAGGTGTCACTTTAACTTTACTTTAAACAAAAAGTTAAAGTTTAAAGTTGCTTTAAACTTCTTTATATAGTGATTTTAAACAACTCTACATTTTACTTTAAACGTAAAGTTAAAGTTAAAGTAACATTCGTAGTAAATACAAATGACGGACAAGTCGTTATTTTCCGTTGCTTCCTTTTTACACACATCACATATACTTGGATTTTTTCGTTCCTGTCCATCACATATGTTAGATCTTTTCCTTCTTTTTTTCCACGCGTCATCTTTTCATATGTATATTGTGTTTGTTGAGATTTAGGCCAGCCGCTCTACCTAGATAAATCGATGAGCATTTCTCAAGAATGTACGATCCACTCTCCTATATATAACGAGTGCTTTCTACAAATAAATAATGTGTGACCCAAGTAGGCATGACCCAAACCCAAACTCAAACTCCTAAATGTTTGCACTGAGAATTTATATAAACTATTTTGCAAAAGAACTTTTTTTACTTAGATTTTTATTCACTAAATTACTTAGCAAAAGTAGGATTTTTTACTTAGCACTTAAATAAGTGCCATTAAATTTTTGTATCGAATGACAACAAAAGCGTTTTATTCTTTGAGCTAAGCAAAATAATTTTTAATGATAGGTTCTGATTGTTCTAATTTTCTTTCTAGAAAAAAAAGTTCTTGCGTTCTGTAAAGAAGAAACTGTATAAGGAAAGAAAAACATCGAATATGTTTAATTTATATTCTGCGAGTAGTTGTCATTCGTTAAAACAATAAATAAAATATCGACATTCATTTAACTCTTATATCTATTTAAAATGAACATAACTTCGTTTGTCAAATCAACGGTATTTCTCCAAAATGTAACAGCAATAACTATGGAATCATGGCTTATTCCGATGGATATCCTCATGATTATCCTCACTACTTTGGTCATTACAATATCTTGTGTTTTTCTAATTATTATTATTCTCAATAAAACATGTCATACAGTTATAATGATGTTAATAGCCAATACATATTTATCTGCACTTCTATTCGGATGTTGTCTGCTCGGTTCGTCTGTATTCATGTTTCAAAATGATGTTAAACAAATTCAAGACCAAGATTCACTGTGTAATTTTCGAGGCTACTTCATTTATGTCTCATGTGGTCTACACAATTATTCATTTCTATTACAAGCTATCTATCGGTATCTAACAGCAGTTTATCCGAATCGTTTATTTTGGCAATCACGACGAATTCAAATATTATTTATATGTATAAAATGGATCTTTTGTTTTGTGTATATTTTACCTATTCTATTTACTAATGGATTTACCTATAATGTTGACAATCAAATATATCAAACACCTCTTGCACTTTCATTTTCAATAATTTATGCATCAACTTGTGTTTATGCATTTCCCATGTTGTTGATTGTGTTAATTTATTTTACATTGGTTCGAAATGTTCATGGAATGAGTAAACGTGTGACAGCTGCAAATACTTTATCTCGTGCAAAGAGAGAATTAAAAATGGTTCGACGCATAGTTATACTTGTAGGAATATTATTAACAATTGGTTTTCCATATGTACTGTTTGCTGTCATATCATTTTTTACAACTCCACCAAAACATCATTATCGAATAGCGTATATATTTGCTGAGACATCATTAGTATGTGTACTGATTACTTCATATTATTTTACAGATCCACTTAAAACATCTATAATAAAGATAATAAATAGACAACAAAATAGAGTTATACAAGCTGTAATATAAATAAAGAGAAATCGGTAAACTTAATTTATGTTGTAATGTAATATTGTTTTTCTGTCTCCAAATAAAAGACGAAAATAAAAAATGACAGAAATATCAAGAGTAGAAAAATAGCAATCAAACAAATATCATTCGAAATTTGATTGTTTCTCCGAACAGAGTTTGTATGTTTGGTAAGTTTGGCATAATTTCATTTTCGTTCAATCCGCCACCTAAAACTCGTAATGTCACCTGTTCCAATTTAAAGTGTGAATGTGTTAATTTATTCCATTCATTAATATCCAATAAATTCGTTAAATTCTCTTTGTTAGTAATAAGACACACACGTCTGACACCCGCCCTCAAGATAAGATCAATTATTGCCATTAATAAACATGATGGATAGTTTTGTATACAATCGTTTTGTGAAACAAATGGGAAATAGCTCATATCAATCAGAAGATATTCGAGAGTAAAATATATACTACTAGCTGGATATGTTTGATTTGGAGAATAATGAACACAAAATATTCCCGAACTATATAGATGAAATCGTTTGATTCGCTCTGGTAGTCGAATAATCATATCACGAATTGCATCGAAAGCAATTTCGTAATCATACCAAAGTGAAAGAGAAGTGATATTCAGGAAAGGTATTTTATAGAATATGAGTTCATGTATAGAATGATGATTAATTAGTGAGATAGACATAACTTGATTGAATATGCTCAGTAGGTTTGAACTGGCATTCGATAATCGTTCTTCTGTATTGAATCGTAAAGAAACGACTTGTGATGAATTCAATTTTCGTAGAACCAGCTTGATCAATCGATCAGACGGTTCAACAAGTTGTACTTTTGCTTGAGTTCTATGTAATAATGGGAGAATATCGAATGAAAAGGCATTAATCGCATCGTTCAATGATAAATATTTTGCTATTTGAAGAATTACATTCGAATCAAGACCAGTCTTCGCAAGAATATCTCGTAACTAAAACAAATCAAGACGACATACAGAAAAATTTGTCTTCACCTTCCTCGATTATTTGTGTAAATACGAAAACTTACTCGGATCCGTTCACTCTTGTCACATTCTTCTTTGAAAATAACTAATTCATTTTTTAACTCTTCAAGTGTTATTGTAGTATTTTGAAATAATGTTTTCAATTGATATTCATTGATGAATGATCCTTCATTTTCTTCTTCAGAAAAGCGCATAACACCAATTAACATTGGACATTTCTCCTTGGAAAAATCTACAGGATCTTCAGAAGGAAAGACTTCCTGCCAAATTTCCATCAACCTAAAAGTTTCTAAATATTTTCAAAAACTTTTCTATTTCGAGAAGTCGTTCGAAGGAATTTTAAATCAACAATAAATTAGAAGGAAATACACTTACTTATTTTTATTTGACTCATAGGTTATATCCCATGGCCAAACAATATAGTTCTCCAGTAAATACTCTGTAATAACTGTTGAACATAACATTGTCGAGCAAAATATATTACTGAAGTCACTTTGATCGTGGTGTACATAAATCAGTACTGGTCGACGCTGCAATAGAAGAAAGATGATTTACTTTCTATAGTTATCAAAACGAACTTCTGTAATAATCGCTGAACTGAACGCTTCTTTGCAAGCTGTTCGAAGAGAACTTGCGAAGAATACTGGACAAGCATCATAACGTTGACCAAAACATACATACATAGATTCAATACCAACAATTTCACTGGGACATTCATCAGGAACTTAAATATGATACATATGCGAATTAATCATCAAAGAATAAATATAAGAAAAGTAACTTACAAGGACGACGATCCATACGTAGATCACTATTGTCAAAAATCTCATCATCTATTTCTTCTAAATCGCTATCCTAAACAGAATAGAATGATTCAATTCGCTATTGGCTAAGTGAAAACCAAAGAAACATATTTACCATTATTACTGTCTATCACGAAGAAAAGATGCCGCAAAATAATAAAGTTCTCTATGTCTATGACCAGTTTACAATACACCTGTCTCGTATATATATATTTCAGCATACGATAAAACTCTTTTGATTCTACCCACATTCGTAGATAAAAAGAAAAAAACAAGCAGTATAAAAAACGTTGTTTTTTCTGTTCTCGTTCTTCCTCGCACTCAAACATGAATTTTTTATTGTCAAAGAACAATAGTTCGTATTTTACTTATTCTTAGATACATCTGAAAAGAAGACTCGGTGATGGCTGTTTCATACGTCACGCTCGGCTTTCTCACTATATCATAATTAGATTTCGAAGACAAATCATTGCTTAATAAATATATCTACCGAAAGATATTTCTGTCATCTTGCAAACTAAATTCGTATCACTTCATATTTGCTTTGAGGTTGTGTAGATGAGAATGTGTGTGCGAAACACATCTTATCTTTATCAACAACCATCTTGAGGGTGTGGGTCTGGGTGTTCGTGCCTGTAATCGCTCAAACCATACCCACACCCGAATTTCTGACTTACTCCGAATATCACGAAAAAAGACATGGATTTCTCGACTCCTGAAGAAAAATATTGAATATAAGAACTTCTAAAAAGTCTGTAATAATTCAATTTAACTTTCAGATTTAATACTACAGAATGTTGACTAGAATAGGAAATATAATTTACATAAATTTCTTTTTGTCTTTTGTCCGACTTCAAAAAAATGTGTGAACACATAAATTATAATTTATAACTATGGCAAAATTTTATCTTTTGCCTTTTTATTTAAATCAGTTGAATGATTTCCTTTGTTCTTTTAGCAAAACAAAAACAAATTATTAAAGTAAAACTACATATACTATATCTATTAAAAATAATACTAAAACATTGTATATAAGGGTTAGTTTAATTTAATTTACATAAATAGTTTAACTGAGTTTTTAATGATCTAAAGAAAAGCAAAATAAATTCGAGAGACTTAGTTTAATTTTTAAAAGGTTAATGCAATACCCACTCTCTCAATATAGGTGAGTAGAAAGAGAAAACACCCACATTCAGAATCGATGAAGAACAGTTGCACGAATAAGCTCGAGAGGGCATAAGCCTCATCATCATATTTTATTATTTTGGAAAGTATATATTATGACAGATAGAAAGTATCAAAATACTACTCTCAAATCATCAATTCACTGTCAGGCATATGAACCACAGCCACAGCAAATGCACTCAAGAGAATTTGATCCGATGTTAGTTTTGACACTGTTGCAGGACCAAAGCCAGATGCTTCATTAACGACTTGCATTGCACCACCGGTGCAGCCAGGTAATACTACGTTGATATCAGCAAATCTTTTGTTGACCATCAATACCCATCGACGACCATTTTTAGTCACAAATGCTTGACTGAACAAGTTTTTTTCACCTACATCAGATGTACGCGTGATAACTGCTTGATCATTGTCGATATCGGTTGTATTGATTAGTAATTTTGAAACCCAGTATTTGGCTGTTCCTTCTCCTGTGGTCCAATTCAACATAGCAACACTAGGAAATTGAGGTTCAAGTTGAAGATCAGGTAGATTTGGATAACCTAATAGATGAAAAAAAACAGCGTTTTTCTCTTTCAAGACTGAAATCTGATATGAAATGAACGATACTCACCCACCAGTTGACTGTGTCCTACAACATCAATACCTTGTCGAGATATTTTACCCCATGCATAAGCATAGTAAGCTGCACCAGCATTCCAAAAGACCAATGGAAATTGAGGTGCACCGGGTGTATTATCATCCGGGAGGATTATTCCTAGTTCATCAATAGTTGTTCTTGTTTCGGGTGAAAGTTCCTTTCGAATAACTTCGATCTGTCGGATTTCATCTGTGAAAGTATCGAGTTGAGGAAAGAATGCTTCGTAATCGAGTGGATCTGTTCTTGTCTTGCTCGAAGCATAGAAGTGATAAGAAATCATATCCAGTGGAATATCTGGTGCATGATTTGAATGATTAAGAAAGTAACGATACCAATTGAATTCATAGTGACCTATGTATTTAAAAAAAACATCTTCTTATATATGTCGTCTTGGGACATACCTGAAAGTGCCATTCCAACATATTTCATTTCAGTATTGTTGGTATGTCTTCTAATACCCTGAATCACGGCATCGTACGCTCGCGTATATACCTCTGGAGTCATCTGATGTTCAGCTTCAATTTCATTGAATATTTCAGTGTAATCCCACTTATATGAATAGTTTGATACATGTCTGTCTCCATATTCATCGATGAAACCACCTCGAGTATACCATGCCGTAAGACGGCCATAGTAATCACCGAGTGCTTGCATTGTATCATCGACAAATTGTGTACCTTGCGGATATCCCCAATCAGTTTCTGTTACATTATCGGGGTAGATATGAGGCGTATCAAGTTTGAACAACCACGTAGGTTGAGTAGAAAACATAACAATACGTGAATGGCCATCGGTTGCTTGAAGAAAATCTTGAAACATCGGATCTACATAGGTGAAATTCCAATAGGTATTGTTTTGTGGTGGATTGCATTGGATTTGAACGAGTAGTCTCTTGTGTGTTCCAAAACCTATAAGAGAAAGATTTATGAATGAAAACGAAATCTCTATACTTACAAGGATCTCCGAATATTTGATATGAAGCCGGAACACTACATTCTTGTTGACCGAGACATGCTTGTTTAACAATATCCATAGTAGTCGTTGCATGACAAGTACCTTGTTTCATCTGGCCACAGGCACCAGTTGCTGTTCCATATGAAGCAAAGTCAATACTACTAATTGTTCCACCACTCTTTCGGCAGGACAATTGAACGAGATAGCTTTCGCCAGCATTGCCACATTGTGCTAAACCTGATGGTGGATCGAGTTCAGCCACGGCCATTTTTGGATAGGGAAACCAGGCAGCGAATCGAGTATATTCAGCATTGAGCTGTGCTAAATTGTCAAATATCTTTTTGCTAACAGGTGAAAATTGTCTTGATACAAGTGGATTAGTGACGATCTGTAGACTTGGTGTAGTATGCAGAGGATAATCTTTTGCCGACCAGCTCACTTCGATGGTAATTGGATCAGCGCTGCTGAGAATAAAGTAACCAGCGAGAAATAAACACGTATACTGAATAATATTCATCGTTGCGAATAAGAATAATAATGTTTTATTTTATTTGGTGGCTAGTTAAGTAAAAATTTTTATCTCGCATACCTCTTTTTTTTTCTTTATTCTTCAGAGATAAGATGGTCTATTTCAAAAACCAACGAATACATCAAGGTGTATTTGCTAACAGCTTCAATATCAAGAACGTTATCTCTTGTGTATTTATCAAAAAAGAGAATACTGCATCTCTACGGACATCGAAAATCTTGAGGGTGTGGGTGGGGGTGTAAACATCTATTGCTCTTTGTTACATTCTCATACACACCCTCAAGACGATGTCTATGCCACAGTTGACATGAGAATTTAGTTAAGTTTGGAATGTGCAAAATAAATAAAAAAGAAAAAAATATCGAAGAAGATTTTTCTATTAGAATAAAATAGATTATTTGTATAGTAGTTTCCAAAAAAAACATATTCAGAACAATTTATTCAACGTTGTGTGTTATCAAGATATAAAATAATTGATTGTCTCATAATATTGTGCTAAGATCTACTAAACTAAATGTTTATGTCGCTTGTGTAAATGAACTGTATTCTATTTATTGAGGTTCGTTACTATGAAACATATAACGATTAAACATTAGCTATGACGATATTTTTAACTAGATAAATCGATGTATTTTGTTTTTATTTAACTGCTGACTTTCATTTTCTCTTGAATGTGATCGTAAACTTTAAAATCTGTTTGTCATATTTCTTTCGTTGATATTATCATCGCACGTGATAAACATAATCTAACTCAAAATATTCATGTCTTTTCCTTTGTAACCGATTCTAAAAATACTTACAAAATCTCAATTACAGAAGAAAAAACATCTACATAAAACTCTTTTATATTTACCATATTATTCTGCATCAATAAAATCAATTTTTTAATCGTATCATCATAAAAATTCTTCTTAAAATCGATATGCAATTTATTGTTAGCAGAAATATGATAATTTTATAAAATTAAGACTAATATTCTTCTAGATCTATTTATAAACAGCTTATAACTATGAAATATAGAAAAGTACTTATTTAGAAAAAAATTTATTTTATTAATATTAAACCTATTCCAAACTTATCTGCGACACATACATAAGAACGAGCAAAAACAAAAGGATTTTTAGAAAAATAGAAACAGGACAACTAATGTCTTGGTAAAATATTAGGATCTGTTTCAAAGGGTTCTTTAGGTTCTACTAATGTTATTCCAGATCTTGTACGAATTAACTTATAGATCATTAATAACAAACAACATACGAAAAGAGCGCATTCTATGACGTCAAACACAATTGATGTCTTGTTTTGTTGAAACGGAGAAATATTAACGACCAGAAATGATGTTGTCAGTGCAAGAAAAAGACTGAGAATGATTAATCTAGTCAGAAACCACCATCTACGCGCACGTGTCAGAGCACCAAAATCAAGAAGAGCACGATTGAATATAGCGTAGAAGGCGATATTGAGCATTAGCCAATCACGTAAGATGCGTAGTTCTTCTCCACTAGAGACATATTCAACATATGAGGGGTCACAAGGTGAATGTGGATCAAATGCTGGAGAGTCGAGATCGATCAGACCACAAGTGAAGTGTTGAAATTCACATTTATTGAGAGCACCATCATATACTGTTCGTAGGCCCTTTGCCGCGAAGAAAATTATGCTCAAAGAAAAGAGAAGAGACTGGCGTAACATAACCCGCGAAGATTTTGCGCGAGGCTCATAATCATTCGAAAGACGTCGAAAGTTCCAATAACCGAGTTCAACAGCAACACCTAAGCAAATAACTCTAACCAGAAAAATAACAGTAAGCTGTATGTCGCCACAATTTTTTGACTGCAAGATAACATTGGTAACAGCTAATGACAGGAACAGATAGATTTCAAATGATACGCCAAAAACAGATGCTCCTGAACAGTAAATAATTGATGCAATATCATAAAGTGGATATTTTGCTCCCCACACAAATTGAAATGCGACTGGGGGTGGGTTCGATGGTACCGCATATGCCACAGTATCAATTATCGATAGAGCAAGGAAAAGAATAATCGAAATTACCCTAAAAACAATTAGAGTGCGGTTCTCGTGATAACCTTTAACGTGCCATTTTAGTATGGCGGACATAAATCGTCCCAATCGTGACCAAATAGATTCAGAATCGTCGTTCCACATGGGCCGAGTGTCAGGAATACGATATGCTATTGTCAATGGAGCTTGCATACGCACGGGATATCTGAGAGATGATCTAACTAAAAAAAATACAGGTGTTTAAAAAAAACTTGCACAACCGCTTTTCTAGATATTATCATCTATTTCTAGGACTTTCAAGATGGTTTGTTAGCTAGCTTTTCGATAGTACAACTAAATGAGCTTAAAGTTAAGTTTTAATGATTAAGAGAAGTTTATTCCTAAAAAAGATCACTATCGATCAGTAAAAATAAGAAAGTGAAAGAAATCGTGATGATCCACATAGTACTTCACTTTTTCATAATTCATCTCATTTTGCTAATAAACAAAGTCTTACCTGCAGTAGTTTCTTTCAATTGGTTATATAACATTTGTCCAACTTTCACTGTTTCGAATATGAAGATAATTGAATATTAATAAACATACAATATTTATAGTGTATCAGTAGGAATTACCCTAGTTGTAAGACATGATAAATAATATTTCTTCCAACTTACATCATAACGTATATTGTATTACGCAAGTCGGAAAATGACTCACGAAGCATGATATTGGTATTCTTTTACGAAATCAGACCGTAACGCTTGGAAATTACCTACTGCCTATAAAGTGTGATTCATTTATGTTGATTTTTTCTTTTCTTTTCCTATATCGCATAGGTGTCAAGTATGACACGTATACATATACGTGTTCTGTTTTATCTTTCGTTCTTTTCTATTAGTATGGAGCAAATTTTCTTCATTTCTTTCTAACTGTATTTATTTTAGTTATATTTACACGTACGCATCAAGTTTGTCGTTTTGTATCAATCAAGACTGTATAACGAGAAAGTATCATCTCGGAACGGTCGGTTACGAAAGCCCAGTGTTTTTTTAAGTTTTACTGGGCTTTCGTATCGCCTTTTTGACAGGGCTTTCGTAATCAAAAATTAATGCACTTTTTTATCGATTTTACAGGGCTTTCGTATCAGTTTTTACAGGGCTTTCGTATCACAAATACACAGACTTTCGTATGCATTGACAAAGCGTACCTATACATTCTACAGGACCTTCGTATCGTGTTTTGCAGGGTCTTCGTACCGCTCGTACAGGGTTATCGTAAAGCCAAAATTGTTAATATTATCTCAAATTAAATACTATTAACAGAGCTTTGGTATTGATGTAAGTATTTTATCAAAGTAACCATGAACAAAGTTCAAGAGTAGCCAGAAAGAACCAGAATATAAATGAAGGGTGGGGTGTCGGTGTGTGATATAAAAATACTCACACCCACACCCACCCATACCGTCACCCAAAATATATTTGCTTACCAATAGTTTATCTGTTGCTCCATTGTTTATTATTATGTAATCCTATATTGAGATTAGAAAATAACAATGACATCTATGGGGATATATGGATGATAAGTTTACGAGACCGTAAAAGATATTCAAACCATTAATAATAGTAGATGTTACGAATGGATCGTACTTACTAACTAAACATATATACATATATATATATATATACTCTCAAGAGTATTCGCAACGAATACCTTGTTTTCTTATGGAGTATTAGTCTTTAGCTTACGTATCAATACAATAAAAAATTCGTTACGAATGCCCTGTTAAAACCAATACGAAAGCCCTGTTAAATTCCGGTATAAAAGCCCCGTTAAAACTCGATATGAAAGCCCTGTTAAAATCGATACGAAAGCCCAGTTAAACTCAGGTACGAAAGCCCTGTTGAAAAAAAATGACAGGGCTTTCGGGTTACGAAAGCCCGGTATATCCACCGTTCCGAGATGATATTTCCCCTGTATAACTGATCCTAGCGTTCGTGAGAATATTTCGTAAAATTTTTGTTATTAACTATATTCATATATAAACTAGCTCATGATGAATTGAATTTTTTAACTATTTTGTCTTTCAAATCGATTAAAATACTTGATTTTCTCTTTCGCTTTGGTTATTTTCAAAATTAATTAAAAATCTTGAACAAAAAATGTTTTTACAACTAGTACATGTCTAATAGATATAGTTTTTATTATTCGTCTTTGATTGTCTTTCACATATCATTTTCAAGCAATTTTTGTTGATTAGTAGTAGAAACAACACTAGAGGTTAGATTATTGATACTCTAACTATTTTCTTATAAGAAAACAAATCTAGTTGAAAATATCAATTTTATAATTTGTTATTTTTCATCTTGTCGATTTCGATAAGCATTTGAATGTAAGAAGTAGTATGTGATCCATATCGATCTTGAAACCATTTTTCTTTGTATTCATTTAGTTGGATTCGACGTTGACATAAAGGTGATTTACACCAACATTCAAAATCATGAGATGAGACTGTGTATGTTGAATAATCAACAGTTAATTGTTCACCTTCATCTATTTGTAGAAAGAGAAACAACATTCTAATGATCGGTTAGATTTAAACTGCAAGATACTTACGAATCGGTCTTCTCGCAACATATTGAAAACCATCAATCCAGACATTTGGATCGCATGAATGATTAATTGGTTGCCATTGAGCACTATCTTCATGCCAAAGAACATATACATTTTCACATAATGGCTACGCTAAAAGAAGTTTTCGAGAGAAAAACAACTGTAGTAGATATATAACACATAAAATTAAATACCATAATCATTGAATGCAACCATTTCTCTTTGGTTAAATGTCTGTTGAGCATATTGTTTTGTTATCAATTTTGTTGAGTATTTTATTATATATGAATGTTTCAAATGATATTCTCTTTGACGTTTCAAACCTTGATCTAAGAGAAATTTCATCAATCGACTCTTTGACCAACTATTGACTTGACAAATAAAATCAGCTGAACATGAATCTCTATAGAAAATACTACAATTTGGATTACAATCTAATATAAAGAGTTGTTTTGTTCGTTGATCTTGTCGGATATCCATTCTAGCATAACCATCTCCATTGAATGCTTGATACATGTGTTTAGCTAACAAGATTAAATCATCAATTAATTGTTGTTCTTTTCCATTCAATAGTTGCCAATGTGATTTAGTATAATTCGAACCTCATTTATCTTCGAATGCAATAAATGTTTTCTTATCAACAAAATGATATACAACTGGAGGAAATACGAAAATGTCTTCTTTACTTCCAATAACTAAAACAGTAAACTCTCGTCCTTCAATGTATTGTTCAATTAGAGCACCACCGAATTCATCAATAACTGGTGAACAACGTTGTTTCATATCAGTCACATTACGAACCAAGGATTTTTCATTGATTCCAACGCCTAAAATCGATTTATGGCACTTTTTACGAGAAAAAAAATCAATACTTACTGTCATATCCATGTTCTGGTTTAACAAATAGTGGAAAACCATCTAATTTATCTACAACTTGATTTAAAGTGTCATCATTATATTTGTCTAAATCGATGATAAGTGCAAATTTAGGTGTTGGTAATTGATTGTAACGACACAATCGCTTTAATTCTATTCGTGTTGGATCATTAAAAGGAAAGCTGGCACCAGTAAATGCGATACCTTCATTTTGCATATATTCAATAATTTTATTTGCTGTCTCATCGACATTACTATAGAGATTTATAAATATATCGACGTCATGTTTTAATCGTCGAATTATTCCTATACTTTGACGAACATTCGGAGTTAAATAAATAGTTCGTACGATGATATTTGGATCTAATTCTTTCAATACTTGTTCGGCATCATGGGGATATAGTACATCAGGCTGTTGATTTTGCTCTTTAATATAATCGTTTGATTTTTTTACTTGAGTAGATTCAATTGTATAAGACTTGTCCGATATTGATAATACAAACACGTTTGATCTTATTTGTAATGATGTCAAATGATATAGTTTTACGCTCATCACCAATCATTTCTATTTGGAGGTCGTCATCATCGATTTTCGCCATAGCTTATCTAAAACTTCGTAGTCTTACAACAACAATTCACATATATCCTACTCAAGACAATATTTATCGTCATAAGTAAGAAGTATGTTGAGACAATCTCTGCTTGGGTTACATAAATCGAACTCAACTTGTTTTGTTAACTAGTATTTCGAACATGAATTTTACCATTTCTAATGGCTAACCGCGTGCATAACGTTCCGTTATGAGATAAAACTACTTATTAAAGGATTATAGCGTGAAAGAATAAAATCGAGAAAAGATATAGTTAAGTAGTTTAAACTGGACCTCAAAACTGTATTATGCTACATTATAGCAGAGGATGACTACCAATTCTAATATAAACAACATATTACTGAAATGAATTTTTCTTCTAACCACTTCTGATGTTGATGCGAATTACAGAAATATAATCGCCACACGTGTTTTCGATTTCTTTTACTTCAAAATTATTTCGTTAAACACATGTGCATATTCTTTCTATGGTATGCGAGATTCGTTGTTTTCTCGTTCAAAGTAAAAAACATTTCAAGTAGTTGAGTGTAACGTCTGTATGATGTGATTTGATTGCCATACACTTTTCTTTTCACTTGTATCGCCAAGCTTGTTTTTCGTATTTATACATAATTTGTATGCACGTTAAAGAGAGAAGTGAGGGTGCGTTTTTTCAACTATATGCAGAGGAATGCGAGAGAAAAGATGCTACTAGTTTTTGTTAAACGAATTACTATTTTCCAAAGAGTTGCTGACTTAATAGTAAACATTTGTGTTAGCGATAGTGCACATAATGGTTTTTGAGACATGATAAAGCAAACTCTTGCGTATGTATCAAGTGATGAGATCAACATCAAGCAACGACAATATATCTTGTATGCTGTTGTTTTAGTTGATGGTGTGAGGTGTGGGTATGCATACTGTATTCACCTAGAATCCACATCCACACCCTCAGGATTTTAAACGATACCATTTGCGCGTAATTTCTCAATATTGGAAGTGATGATTTTGCATTTTTCAAGAAGTTCTGTCGATATGACAAAATAAATGTGAATAACACCGTTATGAATAAAACAACAAAAAAACGCTACTTGTTATTTTATCTACCTTTTTGAGATTTTTTCTTTCTTTACATATCTATCACGTCGCAACATGTTTACCGATAAAAAAAATGTCGTGATCTTTTCGAACTGCTGAAAAATTGCAAAAAAACATCTATTCGTATATGGTGCATGAATAAATGATGCATTGCTTTGTGTTTCTAATCATCCAATTCACCTTTATACTTACTTTGCAAAAACAATCAAAGACAACTCTTTTTGTTACTTTTAAACATTGTAGGAAAATGAATTAAGCAGAGAGAAGACAAAAGTTTTATTTAAATGAAAATGTTTTGTACATAATATGAATAAAGCATTGAAAAAAAAGACTATTTTGTTAAATAATCGCGTGAAATTATTGTTATAAGAAATAAGGTTTGTCAAATCGTTTTATTATAGAAACATGTATTAAGGTGGTCGTTGCTTTACAATTTGATTTGTGCGATCGAGCCAAACTAATTCGCCTGTATTTGATACATAGAAGGTATAAGGTGCACCGGCACCAGCACCCTGCCCTCCAATTCTAAAGGCAGCTCCCCCACTCGATTGGTATCTTAACGAAAAAAATGCATTTTCATTGCAGTAACATTATTTGTCATACATTCTTCGGTCATTTTAATAGACTCTGGTTCTACAGAAAATCTCATCAAAGTTGCTAGGCTCATTTTTGTATGATGAACAAAAAAAGTCACATGATATTATGTTCTGAATGTTAATATGTTACTCGAATACTTACAGAACTACATTTCCATCGCCCTGAAGTTGAAAATAAAAATTAGCAGCTATACCACCTCCTGGTTGCCAATAATTCGAACTGATGCTACCATATGCACCCACATGAAAAATACCCCATTTGGGAGTTAAAATTCCAAAAGCGAATGATTGATTAGATGAATAGATAAACTGGTTCTCATGAAGAGTAATACCCTGACCGCTTGCGGCACAGTGAGTAACTGAAAAGGAGTCAAATACGATGTCAGATAGGAATATTCAGTAGGAAGTATAAATGCTATGCAACTTACGACAATTGCACATTATAAGGCAAAAAACTACGGTTAAGGAAAAAGTTTCAACGTCATATACTCTATTGCTTTGTCTAAAAGTATTACATAGACACATGTTTTTCAAAAGATTTCATTAAGAGCCCAAAGCATAAATCAACTGAAACCAAGTGGTGAAAATTAGTGTAATCCATACGTACTGATACAAAGCTATCTATCGTATACGAAGTATTTGTTCTACTGACATTAGAGATATTAACGTTATATTTATCTGAATCCTACTTGCTTCCTCTTAGATACGAATGTCTATGATTCAGATTAAATTATCACCTTATAGAACTAATTTTTAAGATAAACGTTTCAGACACAGATTGATATAGTGAAAATCCATTTAATTCGAACTTCATATTAAGCACAATTGTTTATTTAAAAAAAGACGAGATAATGTTACTAGAATTTGCGAATAGTAACAGGATCTGTATGGTACGATCTTATCGGAATTTTTTCTTATTTACCTGCTGGATTTCGATTATTCATACTGATCATTGAAGCTGTTTGATCACTTACACTGACACGTGTTCCAAGACCATTTTTCTCTCGATAAAGTAAACATGTTTGTAATGCAAAGTAGAAAATAGCTGTCTCACACATTTCATACTGTAAACATTCTCGGGCACATTCTTCAGTAGAATAAATTGATTTGTCAGTGATATTTCCCATCAAATTATATGACTTACTAGACACATAGTCAGTGCCTGTAAAAATATCAAAATCAGCTGCTTGAATTTGATTTTGTGTCGTGATACTGCAGCCATTGGCCATTAATACATGAGTGAAGAGTAATATAATCTGTTTTATCATCTAGAATTTTGCAATAAATCAGTCAATACCTGGGGAAAGTGTTAATTTATTTTATTGTGATGTATCTATTAGAATTTTGAACTGTCGTCTGATTTTTTTTGAATAGATGATTCTTCAAATGCGGAACACTTTTTTTAGAAGCTACAATGATAACATCTTAGGATTGAACAATAGAAAAACTTCAAACTACGTAAATTTGATATAGTTGTACATATAAAACAGAACGGGTGGGATGGTGTTCAAAAATAATTTCTAGCTACTGACATTATCATAAATTCTCATAGTATTTCTTTCTTTTAAAACTACAAGTAGTCGGATAATATTCTATTACATAGTTCATCTATCTAACAATTCTTTCATAAAAACTGTAAGATCTCAAAATATTAAATGAAATATTACTCAAACAATACTACTCTCTTAGAAATATATTTTTCTATTAATATATCATCAACTTCGTGCTGTTTCATTTCTAATAATAATTAGTTTTGTAATATCTTTTTTTTTTTTGTAGTTTCAAGTATTTTCAAAAAAGTAATCATAAAAACCATTCATTCAATTCTCATTAGAAAAAGCTCATTACCTTCTCTGATAGTTTCCTTATTTTATTCAAACCTCTTCTAAGAATATCCTGAAATTATTTATTTGCATATCAATATTAGGTCCATTATTTCAACATAGTTAACAAAAAGTGACAGATTAACTCACACATTTAGAGACATTGAATATTTATATGATCTCGGTCATTAAAATTATTTGAAGATGGATAGAGAGAAATAAATCATAATGTTGTGAGATTTTACAGTAAAAAGAATTATTTGAAATACTAATAAAATTATGCTGTGTAAGGTGTTGATGGGATAGATGCTATCAAAAGAAGTAAAATGTTTCTATTTATTTAATTGCAGTTCTTTCACTGCTGTACTTGATATATAATTATGTTGTTGTGAGTTTTAGCAACATGTAGTTACAGAAATAGAAAGAAAGATTGAAGAGACCAAAATTATTAATGTGAAATCAAGTAATAAAACAGAGATTATTTGGTACTTTCCATTTGTTTATCATAAATTTGCTCGCTGCCAACAGAAAAAAAGTCGGTTATTATTTCTGGACAACAAATAAGGGAAATTGACAATTTTAAGCATACAAGAATAGTGACGTCTTTCGGAAGTTCCATTTTTAATAAGATATATGAATTCGCTAAGAGATTGAAAAAAAAGAAATTATCTAAACAATTTAATGTAAGATGTTTTTAGAGTAACATGTATGTAAAGCACTATGTTGCGCATAGAGCACTTTTCATCACAAAAGTTTACAAATGCCTTTTATAACAGGATTAATAATCGTTTTAAAAATAAGAAATATGAAAAAAAAATTATTGTCAAATGGAGAACTTTAATTGATTTCATCATCATGAGGGTGTTTGTGTGTTCTGTTCACATCTCACATTTAACCATACTCGCCCACATCCTCAATTTTCAACACTTAATTGGTGAAGTGTCGCATTACGTGGACAAGCCGTACTATTGATTATAGAAGAATAAATCATATATTTTATTTAGATTTATTCTAATAGGATATTTACGAACAATAATTTTATATAAAAGAATATATTATGAGAAAGCCATTTGTTTTCATGATAAAATTCGTTCATTAGCATATTTATCGAGTTGATTGATCCCATTTGGATTAGAATATCAAGCTAATAAATTTTAAATATGACGTGTTCATAATAAATCTAAACGAAGATATTCAGTATGAAAAATGATACATACGCATATATATATATAAGATGTAGCTAATTCGAAAATGATCTAAAATTTGTTTTTTTTGCGATTACATTGCGAATATAATACGATAATCAGTGCAAAAGGTTCTATTATTAATAATCGATTATTGCAGGTGAAACGTGAAATAAATAAAAGTATATGATTTGAATGGTCAATTAAATATAGAAAGAAAAGAAAAAAAACCAAATGCGAATATATTTTTAATTTCGTATAAATTACCGATGTTATTGATATTCACATCAAAATTGTAAAATACATTTCTTCAACAATGCGTTTTCTTGTTATTCTAATACTCGTCGGACTCGTATGTTTTAATGCTGCAGCATTGGTAACATCAGATCCTGAGCAGGATCATAGTGGTAATTTTTTAATAACTTTATACTAGATGAAAAATTATCTCTTTTATAGGTACTTGTCCAACATATGCAATGATGTGTGCCATTTATTGTCCACGTACATCTCGCTCTATAATGGCTCCAGGAAAAACTAATGGTTGTACAAGAGATAGTGAATGTGCTTCAGACGAAAAATGTTGTAAACCAGCTTGTGGATGTACTAACAAATGTGTTAAAGTTACAATTAAATCACAATCTACATCGTCTCCATAAAGACAGACAATTTGCTTTTTATTATGTAAAATTTATTTCGTAATAATAAAAAGGTTATGATTATAATATAATACATATTTATTAATTCATCATTGAGGGTGAGTGTGGGTGTGCGTGATATGGCTTTATCATCGTCTCACACCCGCACTCACTCGCCCTCATCCACACACTCAAGATGGTCTTCTAATCTTTAACATGAAGTCTTGTTTACTTACAGATAGTCACACAACAGGGTGTTTTTCGATGATTTACTCATCCACTTTTACTCAAGATAATTAAATGATCAATATGGATGACTATCTTTAGAAACATGTTGCTATTTAAATAGTTACACTGACAGAAATTTTATAAACTCAAATTTAAGACTTACAAGAAATTACTCTAGTTTTGTTTCAAGATATTATCAAAATTATTCACGGTTCTTTATCAGATTACTAACAGTATTGAATTCAACCGATAAAGAAATACAAGAAAAAAAACTAGAATGATGTCTGTATTTCAATCAAGTTCTGTTGAGCCAATGTTTCGTTTTTAAAATTTGAATGTTTCCATGAAGTATGTTGTGGAAAATGACGTATTGTTAATTTATGTTGAGGTTTTGATGATATTTGCTCGTCAGGTACTGATCTTGAATGCATACTGAGAAACTGTTGACGAAGAACCGAATCGAGAAGAAAAGAGCGAACCAGATAAATACGAATAATTGAAAAACTACTCCATATGAGGCAAGCACAGACACAGAGACTTGCTAGAGTAATAAGAACAATACTACTTATAGACAACTGTTTTGATTGTTGAGCAATTGTAGCTGAATCCGTTACTGTGACTGTTGTTGTTACTATCGTAGTAGTAGAGATAATTACTGAAGTAGTTGAACGTGAAGTTTTTAATGTTTGTCGTGTGGGTGTCTTTAAATGAAAATTCATAGATAATCTATTTCCATGTCCCCCTGGAAAATATTTACTGTTCGCCTTGTTGTTGTTGATGATACAGATGTTGTTGATGTTGTCGCTACAAATAACAATATATATATATATATTATTAAAATATAAGTGATCTAATTACTTGTACTAGTTGTTGTCGATTCATATGGTATATTAAATGGCCAAAAGCTTGGATCATTTATAGACATTGCTTCTTTCGAACACGAACTAGTTCCTTGTTCGTCTAATATACCAGAATCAAAATAAATATAAAAATATCCACCTGGAGTCCACATAGCCGTTGTATTTATTACTATACTATTCGTTAAATAAAGAACATTACTAGTTGCAGTGGCAACATTTAATTTATAATAATCAGTATTATCGGATGCTCGTTTGAATCGAATATATGTTTCAGTTGTTGGTCGTTGATAAACTGTTGATCCAGTAAGAATAGTCCATACTGATGTTGTCTTTGAAACTGTTCCTATTGGATAATGAGTTGCATTCGATGTGTATAAAGGTTGAAGACTGGATGTTTGTGCTAAGACAGTAAAACGAAGACAGACTGAATCTCCTTGATTACCGATAGAATCAACACCAGCAAAACAATAGAGATTTTGTCCTATTTGATTAGCATTGGATGTAAAATTAGCTAAAAATACATAAAGAGTAGAATCAAATGGATCTTTTTGAAGAGCTGTGGTTAATAGGCCAGTTGGATTAACGCTAATAACACTATCAACAGTAGCATTTGTACATTGAACTTTGAAACGAACACGTGTAGTATAAGTACTACCTACTGGCATATATATACACATATCAGACACAAGATCACCTATATAAATAGGTCCAGTAACACAAGGATTTGTCGAATTGTAAACATGAAATACGAATTGAATAGGTACTTGTGAGAGATAAGCAGTGGATGATATATTAATTGGTAGTAATATGAAATCTTCTACTGTTAAAGCTGCTGCATAGTAACCAATCGTTTGTGGTGTAAAATTCAAATAACATCCATAGTTATCAATAATACCACCTGGTACACTATTACTCAATCCACCACATTGATTGGTACCTTTAGACCATAAGCAAATGTATGGATCAAAATCATTATCAGCTACATTGATTTTAATTGAATAACTAATTTTATTTCTCAATCGATAGATTGGTAACATAGTAATAACAGGTGCATTATTGTATCGTCCAGTATCGACCCGTTTAAAAGTCTGAATTTGAACAGCAACACTCCATCCTAAATTAATTCCTGTGACAAGATCGAACCAATACGAACCAGAAAATGCTGCTATAAAACTAGAATTGTGTGGCACTGAAATTCTAAAACGTCCTTCACCCATTGCATATTGTTCGGCAATATTGTAACCTGTGCAAGGAACTTGAACACTTCCAAATGTTGATAAACCTGGTGGACAAGTACTAACACAAATATAATTACCTGTAGCTAAAAGAGGCTGTCCGTTTGGAATAGTTGCATCTGTACAATATGGAGGAGAGTAATCGTATCGCCATGCATACCGTTGAAGAATTTCAACAGAAACAGACGAAGATGTTTCATTAACTATTCGCCAAGATATCATGGAACCACGATAATGACTTGCTTGAATAATATGAGATAGATAAAATATAGAGATGAAGATCACATAAGAATATTTCAAATACATGTCTTTTGTAAGAAAAAAATATAAATGAAGTATTATACAAATCAGAAATTATTGTATGAGTGTATTTCGATTTCGATGTGAAGCTCTACATTATTATTATTGATCAAAACAAATAAACTATTTTCTATGATTTCATCGTAGAATAAAGAAAGTATGATAGAGTATAAAAAAATATAATTAATTCAATTGAATTTATTTATCAGCATAGACAAAATAAACTTCGTAGGATGCATTATTGATTGGCTTCGAAAAATTCCCCGAATAAGAAATAAAAAGTATAGAGAATAGGACATTAATTTACATGCAATCGTATCATAAGGCTGTAGGTGACCGGAAATTCATCTCTTATTTATCCACATCCGAGTGATGTCATAATCCCAATACACCGGGTATTCTTCTACAAACACATAATTTACAACGTTACTCCACCAGGATATCGTATAACCACCTCGTTACCACAACGATGTATATGTGAAAAGCTGAGGAATATGAGTGGATTTGGTGTATTCACGTGTGGGTAATGATATTGTCTCTTAGATTGGTCTGCTTATTTCGCGAAAACGTCATGAATAGCCATGTGTGTTAGAGACTAATTATGAAACGGATTGTTGCGATTAATCTTTCCGACAGCTAAGCTGACTATGACGCTTTAGTTCAATCAATTTAGATTTTGTACATGAAATAGAACGGATTGAAATCTGCCTTTCGTTAGTTGTTGGTTCGAGATGTGGCGAACGATGAATTCCTTTTGAGCACCCTAAGTTCTCTTTTAGCTTAGTGGCCTGGCTTTCCGAGCACCCACACTTGTTGCTTTGCCCACATGCCTGGCTGTCCCAGCACCCACATTTGTTGCTTTGCCCACTGGCCTGGCTTTCCGAGCACCCACATTTGTTGCTGTGGCTACTGATGTCGCTGTCGGTTGTTGGGGTAACGAGGTGGTTACACCAAATCAACTCATATTCCTCAACTTTTTACATATACTTCATTTTTGGGTAACGAGTTGGTTACGCCAAATCCACTGATATTCCTCAGCTTTAATGATATACTATATGTGAAAAGTTGAGGAATATGAGTTGATTTGGTGTAACCACCTCGTTACCCCGAATCCACTCATATTCCTCAACTTCTATAATGAATATATTTTTTAGTGGGGTAATGAAGTCATTACTCCTTGGTGTAATGTGTGGAGTGAATGTTAATTTACTTTCGTTGACCTCATGTTAGGATATCCTGCCGTCTGACTGTTGATACCCGGGGTAATGGTATTATGACATATATGAATAATAGTATTGTCATTCTGTAAGATATTTGACATCATTCAACGAATGTAGTCATATAAATCAAAGCACTGTTGCAAATGTTCATCATCATTGTTTGATTTAGTTTTTCGTTGATTTCTCTTGAGTAGTCATATTGTATTAAAGAAGATTTTCGATAAAAAGTCACTAATAATCTTGAGGATTTAATGATAGAATTTTTGTTATTTCTATAAACAAATTATGCTCATTTGTAAACTAATTTCTGTTTAAATTACTCTAGAAAGCGATTATTTCGTATTTATATTTTATTCGACATTTTTCTTTTCGATCTTTGACCAGCCATTGACTGGTTTCAATTGAAGATGTTCTAGCTGGTGGAGATTATAACAATTTTTATTTTCGAAAAAACTCCATTAAAACATTATAGACTACTAATAAAATACCACCACCTGGTCCAAGACGAAGAACTTTTGGTACAAAACCTTTATAGAGTGCCCAAAATCCTTCTTCTCTAGCGACAATAAATAGAGACGGAATAGACCAGTTATATTTCGATGACGATGATGAAGTTCGAGAAGAGTTTTGAATTCGACTTTTGACAACATCAAATGGAGTGTTCAATACAGTTCCTACACAGCCTCCAATGGCTCCAGCAATGAAATTATTAAGTATCTCAGGTTTTTCTGGTAGGTGAGCTTTGACTCGGAAGATAACACCGAAATAACCTGCATTCCAAGTAATATTTCTCATCATAGTAGCTTCTAAACCATTATACAAAGCTAAAGCTCCTTCTTGTTTAACAATCTTCTTCACACAATCCATAGTCCCTAAGTAGTAGATACAAATAAACTATCTTTATTCCTGGATGAACCGAAATTTGGAGTTAAAGACATACCTAGATAGAGATGAGCACTTTTCTTATCTTGTAATCGAATCTTAACCAATTCAAATGGTACGATAACAAATGATTCCATAGCTCCTGCACTAGCTCCAGTTAATATACTTAGACTTTGATTTGTCTTCTCGACATCGAATAGTTTTCGATAGAATTGACCCCACATGTCATTTGCTGCAAATTTTGTTGCTCTCTTTGGTGCTTCCATCAAGATTGGTGGAATAATACCACGATAGAGACGGCCCACTCCTTCGTGCTGCACAATATTGTTGAAGGAAGCAATTATTCCCATGTTCTTGCCAGTAGATAACTGAGATCTTGTCTTTATCACATCAAGTGGATACATTGTGAGAACTTCAGTAACACCAGCTATGGCACCAGCTGCAAATGAATCCATGTAGTAAAAGATCGATGACGAAGATAAATAAAACTAAATTAAAAATATGTTTCACTGTAATATACAGTGTTGAACTAAAAGAATCATATGGCAGACTTTTACGACTATGAATCTGAGGTAAAAGATAAAGAAAGTCAATTCAAATCAGTTCGCCGTTGATTTTCTGTATCATTTTACGGACCGTTCCACATGGTTAAATTTGCTTTTAAGCCGCAAAATGTTAATCGCTACCTCTGAATAACGTCATGTGAACAATAATTGTATTTAATACTAAAAAACTGATCCTTTTTAGAGTCATACTCATTGATTGCCTATGGCTAAGAGTACTACTTACATTTACACGCGTCAACGTGTTCGTTACCTCTCGTCCTTTTCTATCAACGACAATAAAATATATCTATATTTTCGATACACTGAAAGAAAATCGTCATAAATAATCCTCTTACCTATATAGAACGAACAATTTTGTCATGATGTGAGAATGCTATTGGTACATAACTAATCGAATATATAATACCTGGTATGAACACACCCTCAAGCGACCTCTTTCCAATTATATTCGAAAACAATGCTATGGTCAAATTCTCAAAAGATTTCAACACTTCCATGATCTATTATTGATTAAAAAAATTAGCTCTTTTGCTCAGGCCATATGAGTGATATTCAATCTATTTTTTTATTATTCTTGATAACATTTAAGATTCTTATTTGTTTTTATATGACGAAAAAAGACACAGAGAAAAAAAAAAAGATAAGATCTACGATAAAAAAACAAAAGAAGCAATGCATATAAAGAAAATGACATATTACCATAAATAAAATAATAAATATGGCTGAAAGAGAAATAACACAATATCAAGTTTATGGAATTCGTTGGATTCAATTAATTATTTATATATTAGCAACATTTTCAAATGCATTAAGTGGTATGACATTTTCTCCCATTGCAGCACAAACATCAAATTTTTTTAATATAACAATAACTCAAGTGAATTCATTGTCTATTGTATTTTTATTTCTTTATACAGTTGGTACAATATTATCAATATGGTTATCAAGAAAATTATCAATGTATGCAACAATGATTATAGGAGGAATATTAAATCTTGGTGTTTTTATTCGTTTATTAGCATTAATAAAACCAGAATATGGATATTATTCATTACTTATTGGACAAATATTTCCAGCATTAGCAGCACCATTTTTTCTAAATTCTACAGCTTTGTTTTCTGCTCGTTGGTTTCCACCGTCACAACGTGATATAGCAACAGCTATTTGTTCAATGGCTAATCCATTAGGTAAAATAATTTTTTTCCATTTTTATTTTTTATTTTTATTTTTGTTAAATAAAAGGCTTAGCAATTGGTTCATTAGTTCCATCATTATTAGTAACTGATAATCCAACATCGAAGGAATTTTTTATTCTTTTAATAAGTGAAGCTGGATTTACATTATTAGCAACATTATTATTAATACTAATATTTCGATCAGGTCCACCAACACCTCCATCACCTTCTGAAGAACATCATCAATCAATAAATTTAAAAGAAGATTTAATAAATCTTTTAACAAATTGTCATTATATTGTACTTTTAATAGGATTTTCATTTGGTTTAGCTTTATTTAATTCCATAACGACATTATTATATCAATTAATTGCACCAAGTGGATATTCAAGTGTAGATGCAGGAATATTTGGTGCTGTTGTTATTGTTGCTGGTCTTGTAAGTGCTTTTGTTGTTGGTGTTGTTATGGATAAAACTCATGCATATCGTTTAATATTAAAAATTTTATTAATTGGTGCCTGTGCTTCAGCAATATTTTTTATTGTTATTCTTCAACCAAATAAATATTATCCATTAGCTGTATCAATTGGTTTATTAGGATTTTTTTTATTACCATTATTACCTGTTTCATTTGAATGTGCTGTTGAATGTACATATCCAATACGTGCTGAATGGTCAACAGGATTTCTAATGTGTTTAGGAAATATTCTTGGTGGAATATTTATATTTATACTTGGTTATCTTATTAAATTAGAACCAACATATAAATCTGGTCAAATATTTACACCATCAGCAATATTTATGCTTTGTTTTTTTGTTATTAGTTCAGGAACATTATTTGCATATAAAGGACCTTATCGAAGACTTGAAGCTGAACGTAAAACTGTTAATTTACAATCGGATAATACAACTACACTTAATATATAAACAAACTTTTTTTCTTTTTTTAACAAATTTTTAATTTAATAATCATATTCAATTATTTTTCTATGTTATATTTATCAGTTTTGACAAAACTTTCTTAAAATAAATCTTTAATACAATTTACTTATATATTTAATACAAAGAAGGCTATAGAAAAGTGTTGTTTTTATTATATTTTAGTTTCTATTTATAAGATGTATTCGTATAAGATGAATTATCTTTGTTTGAATAAATTTTTGTAATTCTTGTCTAAACATACGTGATGTTATGATGCTTACAAAATTTAAACTATACGAGTCCGATATCAAGATACAAAAATTTTGATATCCTTGCCGCTTCTGATTATGTTGTTTTAAAAAATAAAACCTTAAATTAATTGTTACGATATTTATTTAAATAACATTTAATAAAAGTAACAATGGTGATGCTTATGAAAAAAACAAGGACCTATTAATTAATGGGTATTTCCATGAAATCTCAACCAAGGTGTGCAAAATTTTTCTCAGATTTTCACGAAACTTTCAGGGTTGATAGAGCATTTAATTCTGATCTTTTTGATAAAAAAAATTTTCAAATCCCTTTCGTTTTCATGGAAAAAATTTCAAAATACTGCTAGTCAGAAATGCAAAATGCCATATTTCTTAAGGCGATGCTCGGAGGTTTTTGATGATTTTCGCTATGAAAAATAGGTCAAAACTTGAATATAAGATGACCATTCGATAGCCCTGAATCAGGCGCATCGATCCACGGTAAAATAAAAAAAAACACTTATACTATCAATTATTACATCACCAAGTTCAACTAGTATTACTATACTGTTGCCTTTATGTGCCTTGCATATGATGATATTTTTATTCGATTTTAGCTGGCCTCCGATTGCGAATTTTAAAAAAAATAGGAATCCTTAGATGATTGTTTTTATCTAAAAATAGGATTCTCCATAAAAAATGGCAAAAATATAGGTATGCATTATTTTTGTCAAAAAACATATAGTTTTACTAGTTTTATTACTCCATATTTTTCCTTTGATAGAATTAGAATAAATGATCACACTTTACTTACAGTTGTGTAATTCTTTGCTATCAAAATAATCATTTAAATCAAATGGCGTTTGAAATTTCGATTATGATATGGTTTATTCACATTTCAGTAAATAACAAAAAAAGAAGTAAATCGTAAACTTTCAAAAATAAATAGCGAAAAAGCAAACAAATACTTTTCTCATAATTAAATTTGATAAATAAATAAATGCTTATTTAACCCTTTGATTAAAGAGTTTTTATTTAGGATAAAATGGTTTTTTCTATCATACAAAATGCTGAAATAAACTTTATTGTTATATTTAACGCTTTCAGGACCAATTTTGCTTTTATCTTTTTCACATCGGTGTGTCATTCTTAAACTATCTTTTTGATAGCGATCTCAGAAAAAAAATTATTTCTGAAAGGGCTGGGTCTCCCTCCAGATAGGTGGTACAAAAAATGTGCTACGGTGCTGAAAGGGTTAAGCACTTTTAGAAATGTATCAAAATGTAGTAGTCAGCACATATATATATGTGACCCGTAATCAAAGGGTTAGAGAGGATGGTCGAAAATCATGAATTTTTACTCACGTTAGAAATGTCATAATAGGAAAGTCCTTGTCACTTGGATCACGAATCTGACATCCGCTTGTCTAGATCTGGTCGTTTTTTTCAGCGATTTCTGTGGGGTAGTACCTGAGTCTATTACTGAGATCCAAGTATCGCTCTACGAGAAACACCGGAAAAAAAGGATCAGACTTAGATGAATAGATACCGGATTTGTGAACTAAGTAATAGGGACTTTCGTATTATGACATTTCTAGCGTGAGTAAAAAGTGATGATTTTTTGATCACCCCCTTTATACATGCCGCATCTATCTGCAAAAACTTATCACAAAAATGCGCACATTTGTACATACGTGAAACTGCGAAAAAAGGTGCGCAGAACACATGATTATTTTGTATACATTAGTTTTATTCTTCTGACTATTGGATCTTTAGAAGATTAAATTAAATAATTTCTTAGCAAATTCGTGGAAGATGTGAACATACAAATAATATTACGTACAATAGATATCGTGATCTTACGTGCATTAATTGAAAACGTCTATACATGTGCATATATATATTCGATCTGTTTTTTTTCAATGTGTAAGGGCTGATTTTATCAGTACTCAGTAGCTTGTCGGTGTGGAATCCGACTAATACTCATTGAATAATCTTTTATTTTTTCATATTTTTGTAAAATCCGTTAGATTTCTCTGTTTTTCGATAAAATATAGGTAAAATAGGAAAAGCAGTCGAAATATAGGACAAATTAGAGGATTCGTCAAAAATATAGGATTTTTAGGAAAACTAGGTCGAATCGCAGCCCAGATGATTTTAGTGATTTTAACGCGGCTAATTCCTCATCTAATATATTATTTGTTTTCTTATGTTTAGACGTATTCATTAGTTGTGATTTTGTTCTCTATACAAAAATCCCAACCACGACATAATAATCTTTCTTCGGCGACTGATAGGGTGTATGAGGATATATTATGGATTAATTTCGATTTCATTTCTTCGTAATTTTGTTCAATAGGACCCCTATTTAATCTTTTTAATTTATCTTTATGATTTTCCATCAGTTCTTCCATTGACTGACTATGATCATCGATGAGAATAAGTCTTTCCATAATTTTTTCAATTTTGTCTTCCATGTTGAAAATAATATAAAAAAAGTTAAATTAATGACTGCTATATATATGCATCGCCAATAATAAGAAATAATTATGTACCTGATTCGATTATTTTGTCAAGCAACATTTTTTGTTTTTTATTATCTAAGTGGAAAATCGTTTTTGAACCAATATTACCAAAGTTAAATAAAATATTGTCATCAAAAATTTGTTGTGTTTTTGTATCGATTTAATCATGAAAGAAAGTGATGACTATTTTATTAACATTAATTTCGGTGACTTTACCTAGTTTGTAATAACCTGAATGAAGAACTGATATATTGATGAAAACTTTTCAAAAAATATTCCTCCGCAAACTTACAATCATTACATTTTGTAGCTACAATATCGTTCATTGAAATTATCTTATTCGAATGATTATCATCCCAGACCGAAGAATCTGGCACGGAAACGGCCGGTTCCGTGCTATTCCGTAGATTTCATGGAAGTAGCATTCCCGTTGAACGGATCCGGTTACCTCACTACTCCATCGGAGTCCAGGCATTTTTCGGACGCGTTCCGCCCAGAAATGGCTAGTTTTCTCAGGGATTTTGGCGAAAATTCATGGAATCCTGCTTCAGGAACCATCGTCCTGAGATATGTATACAAGTGTAGAAGAGAAATGACTAAAATAAAGTACAGATATATACGACATAATAGTTATATTCGATTGGATGAAAATCGTCATTAGTATATTTTATAATTCCTTCTTATACAATACCCATCATTGGTTAATTTTAGAAAGTTAGTCATATACTTATCAGTTCGTTAGCATTGATTAACGTGCTTTTTGTATTTATTCTTACTATGATTTTTTATTTATTTATTTTAAATTTATTTAAAAATATAAAATACAATATAACTATATTATTTGACATTACACAAAAAAAAATATATAAAAATAATTTAAAAAAAAATTCTCAAAAATAAAAAATAATTTGTTGGGTATTGTAAATTCTAAATTAAACTATATTAATTATATTTTAGTGTATATTGAAATATTTTTATATTACTTGATTTTAAAAAAGAAATTACTTATAATCTAAATAAATAATAAAATAAATAAATTATATTTAAAAAAGTTTATTTCCTTTTACCTACATGTAAAAAAAAATAATTTTTTATGTAAAGTAAAATAAAAGAATCATTATTGTCTATTCATACGGATATCTGTGCAATCTCGCACGAATGTCTTAACTGCGAACATTTGTTACAAATATTCCTTCTAGATATTAAAAATCATAAACATATTTGAAATTTCACCGGGACTCAAAGAGTTAAACAGTTGTTTCTTTTTAACGGAATTTATTTAGAGAAAAAACATACTGACATATCTACATTACTTTAGTTAATTTTATTATTCCTGCTTTTCATCTTTTTCTCAATATGTCTAGAAAAATAATAAACTGTCAATGTAATTTTTTAATGAATTGTTAAAACTCATATGATTTTTATATTTCTTATTATTATTCAACCTTTAGTAATACAACGTATCAATAATCTTTTATAATGAAGTTTAATCTTGAAATTTAACGTAAATTATATTTAGAAATGTCATATTGATTATCTTTTTCTGGTCTACAACTCTTGATAAAAACAACTAAATATAAGAGACTCTAGAAATGTTTCTCATAAATAAATAATTTTTATATATTTAATATTAATAAAAGAAATAAAATCATAGAATTCTTATTCGAATTGTATTAAATGTCGATATTATATTCATAATTAATATTTCGAAAATTTAAATTATTATTATTTATTAAATAAAAAAAAGTTATATAGAGCATTAATGATGAAATAGGATGTATCGTGTAAAAGTAATGCAATAGTATATTTTCACTTACCAGATGTAACGATAATATATTTATTGAAATATAGCCAAGGCTTATCAAGATAATGAAAAATATCAAACAATTAAATCTACTAATTTTCAGGGTGTGAGCGTAGCACGAATTTTTGTGAGTAAATAAAACAAAAAAAATTCCAAAGCAGGAAGCCATTACGCCTCACGCACCCCTAGTCTGTACGCCCCTGAGTGGGGATAAGTACCCTATTTCATCCACCCCACACCCACACCCTCAAGATGCAAAAAGAAAAATGTTTTTTTTTTTATTGATTATGATGAAATGTCGAGAAAGTGTTTGTATGAATAATAAATAGTTTATGACAATAAAATAAAAAGAATAAATAGTTTATGACAATAAAATAAAAAAATAAAATTATTATTTCGAAATAGATGAATAGAATAAGGTAAATATAGAACATAAAATAAGATTAGAATAATAAATATTAACATGATAAGCATCCGAAATACTATTATCATCATTAGAAATATTAAGACCAAAAATTACAGTTGTATTAAAAAATTTCATTGAAATTTGTTTTACAGCATTAGTTTCAGCAGCAAAATCAAAAGTTGTTGGATAAGATTCAATACAATCAGCAGTAGCCCATTCCGATGGAAATAATTTTGGAAATGCCCAAGCTGAAATTAATTGTAATGAACACATATATCCAAGTGAAGCCATACTGACTGTAACATGACTAGCAAGTGGAATTGCATAAAATTTTCTTGTATTTGTTGTAAATGCTGCTACTTGAGATGCTTGATCAAAAATAGTTGATGGATCTAATTGACCTGAAAGCATACATATTGGTGTATAATTTGCAATTTGATAACGATATTGATCTATTGGATATTTTGGCCATTGTGAACGTAAATTATAATATCGAAGAGGTGTTGCTGATGCCATTATTGTTGAATGATACAAATTAAGTATTGTTGTATTATCAATTTCTGTTTCACCTTTTGCTAAATAAGTTTCCGATTGAATTACATTAAAATTTAAAGCTTTTGATAATAAAAATCCTGGACCATTTGGGTCATCTGCAGTTTGAGCTGCCGTTGTAACTGTACGAAAATATAAATTTAAAGCTTGTCTATCATCTGAATTACAACGATATAAACGATAGATAACAGCTGGTATAATAGTACGATCTAAATAAGCGTCTGTAGATGCTAATTGTGTAAAAAATATATCACGTAATTTTTCCGAAGTTATATTAAATCGACTTAAATACTTCTTAATACATTGTTGTGTATTTGAATCAATACTTGTTAAAATATTTCGAAGCATAACATTAGGTGATTGACCAGGAGGAAAATTTTGAATACATGCTGTTTGTAATTGACAAAAACTTAAAAATTGTTCAGCTACTGATGATCCTAATGCATCATCTCGACTATCTGAACTTGATATTGGATTCACAATTCCATCCATAATAGCTGTTTGAACTACATTTGGATAAATTGTTAGAAAACGATTTAACCAAAATGTTCCATATGATATACCGAAAGCAACAAAACGTCCAGGATAATCTGCTTGATAACTTTGAATTTGTACAGATAAATCATGAGCTGCTGATGTAACAGAAAATTGATTTAATCCATCAACACCAAATTTTGATATTAAATAATTAATACAATTTATAGACACATCCTGTGATCCTTTATCATCACAACTTAATAATGTTGATAATCCAGTACCACGATGATCAGGTAATATAATAGTTACACCGAAACTTGCAGAAAAAAATTGCGGTATAAGATAAAATAAATTCCAACCTGAGAAACCGGGTCCACCCGTTAACGCGAATATTGTATTATTTGTTGATGCTGTTTGATTTGAACGTAGTCGTGTCATTGAAATATTAATTGTACGATTGTCAGGTTGCGCATAATTTAATGGCAATTGTAATGTACAACAATCAACTGTATAATTAAGATAATATGTTGGATATCCAATTGCATTACATACTGACCATGCACATCGATGTTGAAGTGCATATGCAGTTGCATTAAAAGCTGTTTCAACTGTATTAATTTTCAAAATTAAATATATGATTAATTTAAATAGAATAAATCGAGACATTCTGCAATAAATAAAAAAGTGTATTTATCTATTTTTGTTAATTTAATGAAAGAAAAAAGGTATATGTCGAAATTATTTATAGCACGTATGCGATAATTATAATTTTTCGTTGTCAGTAAAAATAAAATAAAGATAAGGACAGAAAAGAAAGTGTACATTAACATACTAAATATATGTATATCATGTCTAGGAATAAAAACTTTTATAAAAAAACAAATATTACAGTAATAGTTTTTTTTGACTATGAAATATTTATTTGTTGTTCCGTTCGAAAGCGCATGCTCAAAAAAATCGTTTATGGTCACCTGGTTTATGTCCTACGAAGTACTGTCTTTGAGATTAATTTCATATTTATATAAAAACGATAGTCATGTTAATAAATAAGATTTATGTTTCTCTTTCAATTTCTTTACATGGGTTAAGTAAAAAAAATGTCTGACTCCAAGAGATTCGAATCTACTTATATTGCCTATTTTTCGCAGGTATTTACATATATAAGATTCTAGAGATATTACATGATTCAACGAACGGACACCTATGAATTATCCGCAAGCCAAATGTGTATTTTTTTTGAAATAACTCCTGTTGAGCATGAGAAAATCGAATGAAACAAACAGTTGATCGTTTATTTTCTAAGGATATGATTTAAATAAAGGACAAGTGATGTTAAGGCCATTTTTTCGTCCCATACACTTAGGAAAAAAACTATATGGTTAGAATCAGCATTAAATTCTGAACAAAATTGTATATTCTTTTTTTTTTGCCGTGGTATCTCTCAAGAAAACAAAAAAATATTTTTTTGTTTTTCACTCTAATTTCGTCTAGATACAGATTATTGATCGCGCTGATTCCGAATTTATTATAGTGCAAAACACAAAAATATTTTTTTGTTTTCTTGGGCGATATTACGGCAAAATAAAAAGAATATACAGTTTTGCTCAGAATTTGATGCCGATTCTAACCATATATTTTTTTTGCTAAATATTTGCGGCGAAAAAATGACCATAACGCCACTTGTCCTTCAAGAATTATTTTATTTTAAGTTTCGAATATCAATAGACTAAAAAATAATGTCAAGAACACTTTTCATTTGTTTTACTATAAAAAAAAGAAGAACTTCCCAATCAAACAAAAACGCGTTTTTTGACCGAATTTGTCATTCTATACATAATCTTCAATTGTACCTCGGACAATCACACTCTAATTATGTCCACTGATATTTAGAACTATTCTTTAGAAAAGAATCTTCAAACGTGTGTTGTATTATGTAATGTGCTCCATCGGTCATATAAAACAATTTATTTATTTTTTTAAAGCTTTAAATGATAAATTAATTGTATAAAATTAAAAAAAAAGTTCCATTACTTAACCTTCCTAATGCGAAATGAAATACAATGAAAAAGAGTTATTACAATTATGATATCGGCATAAAATGTGAATGTTACACGTAAATTGATTAAACATTTATTTTTCCTTTTTCTCTTAAATGTTGTCTTCGAACGATATTTTCTTTCTCTGGTAGATGAAAAAAAGTAAAAGCGCTATATACCCATTATCAGATTGATTTAAACCAGAAAGAAAAAAAAAATCTATTAGAGTAATAGTATGTTATGATGGAATATGTACACATTATTTCTTCGTCCTTCAGCATGAAGAAAAGAAATATTCATCATTAGAATATATGCACCTATCTAAAAAAGAAAATACGACATAAATATATAAAATGTTCGTAATATTTTCTTATTAAATTGTATAATTTTTATACAAAAAAATAATATTATATTTTATTTTTATGCATAAACATGAGACTCTTGTTACAAGAAAAAGAAATATTTATTCATATTTACCTGATTTGACTTAACCTTCAAGTGTTCTTCACACATCAACATAGAAAAGAACAGTTTTTTTTTTTATCAAAAACTAAGGACAATGATGAATATTCTTTTGCTTAAATATGGATGTCAAGGGACCACGAGAGAAAAAGAAAAGTGTTCTATAGCGATTAAATATAGGACGATTTGGGTATATTCTATACTAGAACAGAAATAGACATAGAAAAAACAACTATGGCTGTCATCATTAGTAATATTTTTTATCTGGGCTCTTTGAGAGTTTCTTATTCGCATTTTATAGATGTATAATTATTATTTTGAATTGTTTTTTTCTTATAACATCAAAATAAGTTTATTAAAAATATTTGTTTCTATATCATTTCATGTTATACTCATTTAAAGATTAATAGATAATAAGATTTATATTTGCAATTTTATTTATATTCAATAGTTAAAATGAGTATTGATTAAAACTTATCGATAGTTTTATTAAAGAAATTTAATTAGACATTTTGCGAAACCCGTCTTGAAAAAGTATAAAAATATACATGAATAGAAATCACTTCCTTCATCACACACTGTAGTACTTGTCACTTATCCTTCAAACACCGTGACAGACTAATCGACTATCCTTCAATAACACATTAATATATAATCAATAATTTTAACATAAACTCAAGGATGACATGTATCCGTGACGCCTTATTATAACATGTGACCTACACTTTGTTTTCAGTTTTGAAAAAAAATGTATTCCAAAATCGGTAGATTTAAAACATTTTTGTGCGATTAAGAAAGACAACTAGATTGTATGTTTCACGTATTAATTCTATCAGAGTTTGTGCTAACAGCTTCATCAAAATTATAAAAAAAATCTCTTAGATTTTATTAGGGATGCAACGGTGAATCGGTTATTGAGAATTTCTATCAAAAAAATTAGATAGTATAATTTATAGAGAATCAATCTTGTTTTCTTCTTATAAACATATTGATGATGACGAAAAAAAAGGCATTTATTTTAATTGCAATGAAAATATAGATAAACGAAAAATCTAAATGAAAATTGTATAAATATCTGTGTTTTTTTAATGTAAACATCATTAGAGAATCAATGTATTATTTATGATTGATCTTACAAGTTTTTTTATTAACTCAATCAAATCGATAGAATATGTGTTGACATTGAACGAATCTCCTTCGAAATTGACTTTAAAAAAATGAACGATTAATGATAACACAGAATATCTTTTTTCAATCATTTAAATTCTATTTAATTTTTGAATAAACGACTATATGGATTCAAACGACATCTATACATATATGATTACTTTTTGTATAACCTTGAACTGACATTATACGATTAATTCATTTATAATTTCCTACGGATAATTTTTCGTAGCGAAATTATCATTAATATATCAGAAAAATAAATTCTTATAAGATCGACGAAAGTTTTATCAAGATATAGATAAAATCAGTATAGCGTAAATTATTCATTGTATTATTAAACGATCGAGAAAAAAATCTTTGATTCTATATTGTATCCATTTTCTCACTTAAGCATTAATATAATATTTAAATGCAAGATTTAATATATTGAGAAAAATATTGAATTTGAATTTAAATTGTCCGTATTGACCTATATTTATTGTTATTATGCTCACAATAATACCAAAAGAAAAGAACAAGAGTGTTTTTTACAAAAACGCAAAAGAACATTCTATGAAGAAACGCAAAAGAATATTCTATTGAAAACAAATCGTATAAGTATATATACTATAGTACATGTAAACAGGTCTCTCTTATATTAAAATTCAAATAAGTAAGTCACACAAACAAATTCTTTTAGTGAAGGACAAAAATGTCTGGATCACACAAAAATACAGTTGAACAATTTACACAAACAATTAATAATCGTCATGTTAATCATCTTGATAATGTTCTCGATAATAATGTAGAAAAAAAAGA